CGGCCGATTAGGATGATAACTTGAGTTCTTTGATCTCGAACAATCCTCGCTCCAATGCTTTGCTTAGAAAACCCGAGCCTGCCTCGTCAATTCTTTGAATCTATGAAGACGTGTGTGTAGACACACCTGAAACAAAACAGGTTAGCAAAAATACTCAAGAATTTTCACGAACACCAACGCATGCACGACGTCGAATTTTTGGAGAAAAATTTTCCCTCTCAACTCTTGGAAGAATTCGGTCACCCTCTAGAATTAGGAGCAAAAATTGTGTCAAAAAATTGTGTCTCAGAATTTTCTACTACCCCTTTATTTACAGAGTAGAAGTCAAACTTCAAGAAGGAATCTAATCTTTATCTCCAAGATAAAGTTTGTTAATTATCACCTATTTGAATTTGAAACAAAATTTTCCTTCACTTTAGCCTTGGTTGGCCGGCCATAGATAGGGGATCTTATCCCTGTGTAGGCGCCAATATCAAATAGGGAAGGAAGAGAAATTCATCATTTATCCGGCAGCCCAATTTTGACTCAAATTCAAATTCAAATTTAAGTCAAACTTAAATTAATTGAATTCTAAATTGAACAACTTATCAAATAAGTTTGAATGGATAATTCTAGATGTGTTCACACTATGTGAACACCTTTACATAAGTGATCCAAAATTTAAATTTAAATTTAAATAATCACATTATTTAAATAATATTTAATTCTCAATTAATTATCATTGAGTGTTTGCTTTTAGAATTCCATAATTCTAAAATTCTCATTTTTCCCTTAATGTCTTGTAGAATTACAAGGACGACGCGGTGACTCATGGACCTATAATTTTAAGCTCTAATAAAATTAATAATTAATGAAACACTTTAATTAGTTAATTAATCTTATTAATTCCAATAGTTACTCCACTATAAACTTAGAATTACACTCTCGTAATTATAGATAGAAATTACTTCTAAACCGTGAAGTGTCCATGTGATGTAGTCACTACATATAAATCAATCCTCCATAAATAATTCATAATTAGAGCTATGTAAAAATCTGTTAACCTCTCTAATTATATCTTTATCCTTGAGTACCATTGATTCTCTAATGGACAGTGATTGATAAAACACATTCATGAATCGGAGCTCCTACTATTCCAAGTTTCGAATCAACACTTAAGAGAATTATTTATCTACTTCTTTCTCAATGGATTCCATCTCGTATAACAACATTCCCTGCTACCTACTTCATCATGTCTCCAAAATACAAGGAATATGATTTAGGATCTTGGAAGCCATACAGAGGAAATCAAAAGACACAAATCCATAAATAGGAGTATGCTAAGAACTCAGGATTAAGATCATTCTGTATATGACAATCGGTAGACTCAATTAGAATTTCTATACTTAACAAAAATTATTAGAAATTCATATTGTGTCTGTGTTCTTGTTCCATATAATCTCATTATGCATAATACACTCATTCAATATCTCACCATATTAACAGTGCAGATAATACTGTTCCATTCTAAATGGGAATGACATGTATTAGTAATGTTTTAATTAAGGATTCCAAACTTTAATTAATTCGTTACGAACATTATTTTTTATTATTATCCTTAAACATTATCTTCTCGCATATAGCACTTATATACAACATTTAAGGTCACATAAATAATCGTGGAATTTTCATTGATATTCATAAACTATGCATAAATATATGCACATAAAATAATGAATAAACTCTTTTATTAAATAAATAATAAATATCATATTATATCTCATGCATCTAGGACATCATTCCCAACAGTTCGACACAACAAGAATTTATTTGATTTGCTATTTAACCTAAAAAAAACATAAAATAAACAACTCTCTCTCCTCTCTTCTCGACATTTTCTCCTCTTCTCACTCCGGCCGAGATTCTTGTTGTCGTCGATCTCGTTGCCATTGTCGCCGATCTATTGCTAATCCATCAGCGATCTTCTTCGCTGGTTCTCCCTCTTCTGTCATTGTCGATCTGTTGGAAGATGGAAACGATCAAATGGCAGGTATGCGCACGCGAGAATATGCACTGTAGACGTTGAGTTGCCTTTTTTTGAGTTTTTAAGGGCTGCCGAACAAGCCCTAATTGTTTTAGAATCAACACAACATGGTGGCTTAACCAGCGAAAAGACTACATGGTGGCTTGTTGCTAGCAAGTTCATCTGTAGTAATTGGCAAGATTAATTACAAAACATTCTCTCTGAATTAAACTCTTTATAACACTTTATCCTCTAATTTTTGAAACATTTGTTCCTCTGAGTAATTAAATATTAATAAAAAAGTTCCCTCTGTAAGGTTTTTTTTAACAAAATTGACATTAATTTATTATTTTTGGGTATTTTAGTAGCTCTATGATTTAAAATTTAGTTTCAATTTAAAACTATTTGAATTTAAACTTTTAATTATGATACATTCATTATTGATTGAATGTAAGTTAAAAATTTTATGAACCTTTTTTGGTAGAATAAAAAATTTTATGAAGTTTTTTTTTTGAATATATAAGTTAGTTTAAATACAAATTAAGTTTTAAACTTTAAAATTTTTAAAATTCCCTCAAAATAGCAAATGAAATGTCAATTTCAGTTAAAAACCTAACATATGGGGCTTTTTTTATTAACATTTCATTGTTCAAGGGGAACGAATGTTATGTTTTAAAGATCAGGAAGTAAAAGTGTTATTAGAGCTATAATTCATGGGAAATTTTTATAATTAATCCTAATTGAAAACCTACTAAGATATTAGTGAGGCTGGCTCCTATTTTATCTCTATATATGTGTCAATAATCCTTTTTTAATTATTATAAATGCAATGACAATTTATTAAACTATAGAGCATGTTTGGTACATCGTATAAGCCCTCCGTATTACATTATTTAAGAATAATACAATGTTTGGCAACATTTCATACATTGTATAATTTAATATGAAATTCAAATTTAATACATTACATAGTGTAATATCTAATACAGATAAAACCTATGTATTAGATTGTATTATGCAATTTAACTTTATAAAATACATAAAATACTTTACAAATATCAAGAGTCAGGATCAAGTTTCAGGACCAACACTGAGGTTAAATTCCAAGATTGAAGCGATGTTGGGTTTATATTTTTCAAAAATTACACTTTGACCCATTCATTTTTTAAATTATATTTTGACCCTTTAAATCTTTAAAAATTATATTTTGACCCCTTAACTTTTTAAAATTATATTTTGACCTCAAAAGGTTTTTAAATTATAATTTTACCCCTCAATTTTTTAAAAGAATACAATTTGACCCCATTTAAAAAAAATTGTTGAGAAAATACCCTATTGAACAACTCTACCTTTTTCGTTATCTATAGTGTTAAAAAGAGAAGGTAAAGTGAGGGAAAATAAATGTACACATAGATTTACAGTGGGCCATTGGCCACTTCCGGCCTCGACTATGATTGGCGAGTCGATAAAGCGCTAAAAAGAGAAGGTAAAGTGAGGGAAAATAAATGAACACATGGATTTATAGTGGTTCACCTCCAATGTGAAGGCTACATCTACTGTAGGGTCCCGGGTTTCACCATATCTTGTAGAAAATACAATTACAATGGAGAAGAAGAATTGGAGAGAGAAGAGAAGGGAATTTAGAGAGAGAATCTAGAGAGAGAGAGAGTGAGTGTAATGTAGGGGATCCAGAGTCCTCTAATTCATGATCTCCATCCCCTACTTTATAGGAGATGACTTTCTACTTTCCTTTTCTCTCGAGCTGCCACGCTGTCAATTGGAGAATGGCAGTTTCACTTTATTTCCTATTGACTTTCTCTTTTCTTATTTCCTTATTTGGTTTGCAGCTACTTTTCTCTTCTTTATTGATTGAATTAGTGCCTTTAATATTAGATTTGACTGGAATAGATTTCGTGGCCTCCAAGGAATCCTCTTTACTATTTTATTCGGGTGGTCCCCACAGTTCTCCTATCGTTATACTTCTCCAATCGTCTCGAGTCGATTTCAGTTGACTTTCTCCCCGAAACTTTGTCTATGGCCTCGTTCACTTCACCGATTCGAGTTTTCAGTTTTAGGTTTCTACAGTAAAAAGCTCTCAGAAAATATCACATCTAACTTTTTCTGCTACAGTAAAAAGCTCTCAGAAAATGTCATATCTCAGCTCGAATTGAAAACTCGAATCCGCGAAGTGAACGAGACCTATGTGTACAAATGTGATTGTGGTGTTGGTTTTGACCCTAACATTTACCAACACCTCAATTGATATAATAATTATCTCATATTTATGTTATTTTTTGTTAAAAAATGTAAACATTAATTATGTATGAAAAAACATTTCATTCCAAAAACTTCAAAAAATATGGAGAGATAAAGAAATAAATAATAAATTAAAATTAAATGATAGGCGTACAAAAAGAAACTAAAATGATTAAATTAATAATTTTACAAAAACAATTAGGAATAATTTTGTAATAATAGGGGTGTGTAAAAAATAAATTAATCGTTTTAAAATTTTGAGCAATGTGTATTTAGAAAGAGGCGTAGAGAGGAAAAAATGGTGTGAATAGAATCACTCTTTTTGAATTCCTCCAACCTTTTTATGTCTTTTGAATTTGAAATAATGGCAATTAAGGGGAAAAAAGTGAAAAATTATTCTTTTAAAGTATGTTATTAGTAAATTCTTTGGGTTTTTTTTTTTCCAAAGAAATGTCTCCAGTTTTGTAACATTAAAAATGTCATTTGGCCAAAGTCACAGTTGAGATATATCGATGATTAATTAATTCATAATTATCAAGATGAATTAACAATGTCAAAAATCAATCAGCAAATACAAAAGTCAATTTTATTTTCAACAAATAAACATTTCTTTTCATTTAACGAACTATTGCTGAATTTTCAAAAGGCCATCCTAACTTTTTATTTTATTTTATTTTTTATGTTTTTTTAAGGGCAGAAAACAGTCTTTTGCCTCTTTGGAGTGCTTACCTTAACATAGTTGATAGTTCCATTATCATCATCTTCACTTCACCTCCCAACCTCTCTCCAACTAAGCCCCTCTCTCTCTCTCTCTCTCTCTCTCTCTCTCTCTCTCTCTAAAATGGGTTCGAGCAACAGTCGATTGGGATCGCGTCGTCCTCGGCCCCGAGTCAACCGCTCTATAATCTCCTCTCTCATCTGCGGTGGTTCCGATTCTCGCTCTACCTATCAGGTATTTATCATCATCTTCAACTTCAACCACAAATTTAATCTCTTTTAAGTCAACTATCCATACCCATTTCGCATGTATCTCATATTTTTCTCAATTCATCTTCGAATTACTATTTCTGGCTTTTAAAATTATCTGCGGTTTGATCGTTTAGAGGATCGGCCCCTTTTCTAATAATCGGGAGAACAAACTTCTTATGCAGTTTTTAACCCTTTTCTTGCCTCCCTTTCTAGTTTTGTGGGCATGTTTCTGAATTTGAATTTATCATTTTAGAATAGGAAGAACCATATGAGCTGATTGAGAACAAGAATTTTGTACTGTTTTAGTTCCTAACATGTTTATTTATTTATTAATTAGGTGGAAGAACAGTATGAACAAATCCGTGAAGTTCAGAACCCAAGAGTGGAATCTTCACTTTCTGCCAGTTCAAGAACAGGATTTACCAGTTCAAATACTGAAATTGTAGCTAATTTGAATGGATTTTCTGAAGATGGTTTAAGAAGTATTGGAACAAGTAATAGTACATTCTTGTCTGAATGTAAGGAGCTAACTTCTCCTGATCAGGTGAGTACTGGTTGTGGTCATGATGAATCTTCTATGGGTACTAATCATAGTACTACTACATCTAGTACTTTGTTTAAAGAACAACAATCTTCAGACGCAGTTTCTGTGATTGTTTCTCCTAACGCGGGTGCGGTAAATGGTATTGGTAGTTCAGCGCACAATGGTGCCGAGGTTATGCATCCAAGCAGTTCGCCCACTCAGGGACGTGGCAGTTCATGTTCGGACACAGTGCCTTCTGATGAGAATCACACGGCCGATGTAATGGCCATTGGTAGCTCTGGTTCCGATTCCCACTCTGTTCAACTTTCCAATCCACCGGTGCCTTTTCACCCATTTGGAAGTGAACCCCTTCATGAGGTAATACCTTCGGGTTTAGGGTTCCTGGTCTCCAACAGGGAAAGGGCCCGAGCTGATGGCGGGCTACTTCAAGTGGATGTCGTGAGTATTTCTTCCAACGTACTGTCCAATAGCAATCCTGATGCAAGTAACCGTGAGGCCAGGAGAAATAGTAGAAGACTATTCTGGGATGCTTTCTCACGACGCAGTTCCAGAAGGCTCATTGATTCTCCAACCATTGTTTTTTCAATGGATGATAATGAGGAACTAGGATCTCATGACCGGTGGCTACTTGGTTTCAGTGGTGACTTTTTTGATGAGGGGAATGGAATTGATTCTAGATACCTAGGTAGTAGGATTCCATATTCAAGTGAACGAAGACGACACTCAAGATCTGAGGTAAAAATGATGTATATCTATGTTAATAGCATATGGCACTATGAGACATTCTTTTTAACATTTCCAAAAATTATGCTATGTCAGATCTTATGGGAACTGATAGTAGGTTACTCCCAGTTAATTATATATGCCTATTTTTCTCTGAATATCATATTGAAATTGTTTTTTAGGCTTTAATCTTTTTCAAGCGTACTACCTAAATTTTTCTGTGGGAAGTTAAATAATTGTATTGCAATATTTTATGAACTGCATCGTCATAATTGCTTGCAGGTCTGGGAGAGACTTCGTGGTGGCCTTGACGAGTATGGTAGACGAAGTATGTTTTGCCCGTCAGGGCACCACCCGGATGGTACATGCTCATGTGAGTCGTTATTGATGAATGAAGAGTCCACGACTCGAGCTAGTATATCAAGAATTGTCATGCTTGCTGAAGCTTTATTTGAGGTACTTATCTTCCCTGGGCGTGTTTTATTTTCCTTGGATAATAATATCTGTATCCTTTTTAATTATTCATGTTCATGTATCTTTGAGAAGGTACTTGCAGAAGTGCTTCCCGAAGTTTGTGTCATTTTGTGCTTTATGTTTTACAAAAAATTAGAATTCCATATTTCATATTCTTTTTATCTCATCGAACGTGATTCTTGATAATGTTTTAGTTGGATTTCGTCCGGTTTAGTATAGTTCTCTCATAGAACAAAGCATATAGCCAATTTACTTGAAGGCTGTAGCCCCTCATCAATTTTAACCTTGACTAAGGCTATGATATGGTGTTCAATTGCGCTTTTGGATTTATCAATTGGTGCTATTTGGTTCGCCATCAAGATCTGAAGCTTTTTTTCTATTTGGTGTTATTTGGCCTAGTTTGCGCTTCCCTGTCTAGTTATTCTTTTATTTATTTATTTATTTTTTGTATTTCTCCTTTTTCTTTCTTCTATTTTGTTCCTGATCATGTCTAGTAGCAATAATTGTCATTCTATGGGGATTTTGTTTTCAGTTAAATAACTGTGTGGCTACGTCTTGTCTAGTCTGTCATTTGGCTGTCCAGTTATTTTCCATCTTCTTTATTATGTACTTTCTTCCCAGCGTTGTCTTTTATCTGCATCTGATTAAATGGTTCCATCTTTCCAAGTAATCTTGTACTGGTTGTTTTCCAATTCCATTTTGACTTATTCGGCAATGGAAGTAGCATGGTTGTGAGATCTTGCACATATGGACCTCCACCACTTTTGACTTGAGTTATTAACTTAGTTGCTGCTGCAATCTTCAACCTACAGGTTTTGGATGAAATTCACCGCCAACCTGTGTCGCTTTCCCTATCCATGGTCTCAAGTCCTGCTCCAGCATCCGTCGTCGACTCATTCCCTCTCAAGAGCCATTCCAGGCTAGACAAGGCCGATGCTCGTGATGAGGTTTCAGAGTAAGTTCAATCATTAACACAAATGCAAATCGCTGCGATTTCTTTTTCTCCCTGATCGTTGAACATGGTTCCAGACGGGTTTTTCTCTAGTTCTCTGTTTGACAATTCTAAGCAAACAATGAACAGGTGTTACATTTGCCTTGCTGAATATGAAGAAGGGGACAAAATTCGGGTCCTTCCTTGCCAGCATGAGTATCACATGTCATGTGTGGATAAGTGGCTTAAAGAGATTCATGGGTAAATTCGCATTTCCTATCTACTACTTGCTTCATTCATCCCCCCTTTCTCTCCCCAGATGAATAATGCTTAAATGTCTCGTTTGCTTTCTTGTATAATTATCTCTCTTGGCTTTTTCTCTCAGAGTATGTCCACTTTGTCGGGGAGATGTTCGTGAGAACTTAACAGACAACTCAGAGATACCTTCTGTCTGATAGAATTGTATATATATATATATTCTTTTTGTACCCGGAAATGATGCCATGTATCTTGTAGCATCTTTTGTTCATGACGCGGTTTTGTTGGGACTTTTTGTAGATAAGTTACAAAAAAAAAGATCATATTGCTGGATCCGGACTTTATCGTCCTTCTAACCCCCTTTTGTTACAAGATAAATAACAGAAATACTGCACTCCCAAAAAGGAGCTGAGAACATTAACAGGTGGATTTTTGTAGAAAATCTGGCTTTTGATTTTGATTTTCTTTGTTTTGCGCCAAAAAAAAAAAAAAAAAAATGCACATATGCAAGAGTGCTTTTTTTGAGTTATTTTTAGTAAATATCCGAAGTTTTGTAAAATTAGGGAACTGTCCGTTTATCAGCGATGATCATGGTAGACCAATGATAAACTGGTATATCGTTAATTAAATTAGTGGTTTATTACTTAGGGAGAAAAAGAGAAATAGATCAAGACTTGAGATGAATTAAAATTAATAGGCCAATAGTTTACGTAAGTTAATAAATAAGTTAAATTATTGTTTTCGTCTATAACTTGTCTGGTTATGAATCATAATTTGACAAGTTATTGTCCATAATTGTCCATAACTTATATGACTATAAACTATAACTTGATAAGTTTGTTCATAACTTATTTAGTTATGAACCATAACTTGTCAAGTTATGGCATATTAATTTTTATAACTAAAAATTAACCTATATACTTTCTTAAGCTTTTCATATTGGACTATTTTCTACTATTTCCCTACTACTTATTGACCTGGGCGTTTATCATTGATGGACCAATTATCAGCTAGTGATAAACCAATTTTCAATTGATAATTTATTAGGTTATCAGTGGTAAGCTATTAGTAAATCAATGATAAATCGATGTATCAATAAGAAACCGTGGTGTATCAGCTAAAAAAAAGGTAATTTTCTTAAAAAATAATAAAGAATAATAAAGAGAAAATTATTGAACTTACTCTTAAAGTGTATAACTATGAATTTTTATTATTTACTCTTGATTAATACTCTTTTGGTAAACTTTATATTCATTATTTTCTATAATGACATGGTCACTAACATAATGAAAATGCAAGAGGGTTTTTTATTTGTTGTTTTATTTGCTTGTTTATCGCTTGTTTTATTTTTTACTATAATTTTTCTCATTCCTTAACATAATGAAAATAGACGGATTGTATACTCATGTTTTCGCAAATTTTGATTGTTTTAAAATACTTGCAGACTTTATACTCATTTTTTTCAAAAAGATATTGTCAGTAAGATAATGAAAATGTGATAGGTTTTTTATTAGTCGTTTCGTTTGCTTGTCTATAGTTTGTTTTATGTCTTTACCATAATTTTCACATTCCTTCACCAAATAAAAATAGATAGATTGCAAACTCATATTTTCTTGCATTTCATTTGTTTCATTGCTTACAAACTTTATACTCATTCTTTTTCATAATGATATCGTCATTAAGATAATGAAAATATGAGAGATTTTTTTTTTTTTTACTAGTCTATAGCCTGTTTTACATCTTTACCATAATGTCTCATTCCTTAACGTAATTAGGCTATCATTTTAAGGTTTTGTCTGTTATTTTGTGCAGACTTTTTTTGTTTTTGTTTAAAAAATTGGGTACATGCTTTTTTTAATAGTTGTTTAAAGAAGTTTCCTTTTCTTAAAATAATTAGGTTTCATTAAATTTAATTATTTGATTTTTTGTATGTAAATATGAATATTCATTATGCTATCTTTCCTTTTTTTTAGTTATTCTTCTTTTTTTTTTCCCATTATTTGAGGATATAAATTTAACTTCCCCTAAAATTAGTAGGCTAACAACATAAGACTTTTAATCTGATATAATAAATTTCCTGACAACTTTAATGAATGCTGCTACCGAACTTATTATAAATACGTAATAATTTAATCTTTTTAAAAAAATAAAGCCATATGCATGAAAATGAATCTTATTTTATTTCATAACAATATTTATACATATGGTTACATGGTCAGGATCAAGCATTTCAGTATGACAAAATTTCCCTTTTGTTCTTCTGACCTCGATGTTGACCACTCTTATAACTGTTGCTATTTTATTCATCTACAATAAATCCTAAGTCTTGTGAGGTAACTCAGTAAGTAAAGCTTATGTTCACATGCACATAAATGCTATTACTGTTAGAGTTTACGCCCTTAGGAACAAATGTAGCAATGCCTTTATGACATTTTGATATCAATAATGAAGTTTATTCTCAGTAAGTAAAGCTTATGTTCACATGCACATAAATGCTATTACTGTTAGAGTTTACGCCCTTAGGAATAAATGTAGCAATGCCTTTATGACATTTTGATATCAATAATGAAGTTTATTTATTTCATATATCTCTTTTTTGTCCTCTTTATATTCATATTTGTTGAATATATGATAAACAAATTGAAGTCTAAGACTATCGTTCTAAGTCTTTAGATCATGCATGAAATGAGAAGAACATGCATGTAATGAGAAGAACATGTAGAAGACATGAATCTAAAGATGATAGTCTAAATATATGATCCATTATTGATGGAATAAAGTTGGGTGCTTTATTCGTGCTAAGATTGTTACGTTGTCTACTTTCTAATAGAGACGGCTTGTTTGGGTCGTCGTAGTGGGACTACATGGATAGAGACATTAATATAGTTTCTAGTGGTAGAATCTATATTAAATAGGATAAAAGTTGAATTGTTTTAATTAATAATTCCACTTGAATAAAAAAATTCACTTTTGATGAGTTATATGTGATCATCTTAATCATGAGATGAATAATAAACCCATATGCTTGATTTGTATCCTTTGATGTGCATGCTAGGAATAATGTCCTTAAAGCATGAGATGTAAAAATGATATTTATTATTTAATTAATAAAATAGTTTTGCATTATTTATGTGCATATATTATTGAATATTTTATGAACATCATTAAAAATTTTGTGATTATTTATGTAACGTTAAATATTGTATATAAGTGTTATATACGAGAGGATAATATTTAATGATAATAATTAAAATAACTTTCATAATAAATTTAATTAAAGTTACATTATCTTTAATTGAAACATTATTAATACACGTCATTCTCATTAAGAATGGAATGGTGTTATCCGCATCATTAATATAGAGAGATATTGAATTAGTATATTATACATAATAAGATTATGTACAACTGGGACACATACATAATTTGATTTTTTGCTAATTTCCGTTAAGTATAGAAAATCAAATTTGAGTTTACCGATGGTCAATATAGAATTATCTCAATCTTGAGTTATTAGTATACTCATATTTATGGATTCGTGTTTTTTGACTTATTTGGTACGGATTTTGAGATTATAAATCCTATTCCTTGTATCTTGAAAACATGATTAAATGAATAGCCGAGAATGCTAATATACGAGATGGAATCCATTCTTCTGTAACGCCCATCCTGATCTAGCAGCTAAAAACAACGTCAACTCGAGAGAAACGTTAACTACACTAAATAATATTGCTTAATAGAGAAAAAATATCTATCACAAATACAATCATCGAACATAATTCATAATATTATAAATTTTATTTCTTAAAATCTCCTAATTCGTCATGGGATCTTGAACCATTCTTGCTCAGTCAACTGGAACTTCTATTTTAACACTTACCTACATCACAAGAATTATATGAGTGCAAGCTACCATAAATAATTTCCACTTTCAAATACTTTTCTTTAACATTTAGGGTCCTCTTGTATAATATTACTCTTGTGTTATTAGAACTTCTTTCATATGACCCCTGTCATGGAATCTCTTATTCGTCCAGGATTTGGCCCTTCATCATATTTCAATCAGCTCATAATAAGCACAAGATTCACATCATACTCAGAAATACTTTCAAAATCTCATAAAAACATGTCAATAATAACGTATATAAATTTAAAATATACCACTGTTTAAGTGATGCAGTGGAAAGTCTACTTACAGTCAAGCTGCTTAAGAGGGAAAGTTATTCTCTCTATATCTCTCCTCTTTTTTTTTTCCTTCTTTATGCTGTGACTCACGTAAAATTGACTGAAGACCACCCTCTGAATAGGCTTCAATATATGTACTACAAACTAAAGAGAATTAGACTTCTCACTTAAAGAAACATGGCATTAAGATCTCTAAGTAAGGTGGCATAGTTCATGTGCTTACATGCTAAGCTCCAAACGTGGACTCATATATATATTTTACTTAATTTATACCAAGCCACCTCATGCTTATATAATATCATTCCTATCATACAATTCTCAAGCAAATAAATCCAACCTCTTTGGGGCGTGACATTAATATTTTAACATAACCATTTAAGAGCAAAAAAAAATAAAAAATAAAAAATACGCAATAAATTATTATAAATTTACATAACTTCATGTTTTTTAATTAAAAAACATCATGGCATGGTTGTAATAAAACGTAAAAGGATTGTTTAGAATTTTATTTTTTTTTTGAAAAAGAGAAGTTTATTGAGTGACAAAGAGACTGATAATTAGAGTGACTTTAGCATTTCTCTATCCGAGAACTGTATGATTGTTCTGCTCCAATTATATAGGCAAGGAACCAAGAAAACCAAAGTTCTCCCTTGTTAAGCTCTTTTTTAGATAATACAGAATGAAGATTACACTTTTTTACTAGTGAAAGAAAATGAAAATTTCTTATTATACAAATGCCCAAAATACTTGTGTAGTTGTGTGTAAACAATCAGACTCAAAATACATCCTGAAATAAATGATTTTTTTATGATGACCCTTTTCAACCTTTATTAAATACAACTTAAAGCATTACTGTGAATCAAAAGTCGATGAAGATTTCTAGAAAATAATCTCGAAAAATACAGAGAGAACAAAATTCAATTCCCCTTAAATGAATAAACAAACAAATCCTGCAAATTATTAGTAATTTCATCACTCCCTCACCCTCCACTATCTTCGTTTCCTCTAAAGA